TTCACAGGGGGACGTATAATAGACCACTGGTCGCGGTGCATGGGGAAACCCACTCCCTCAAATAATAATAATAATAATAATAATAATAATAATAATAACCTCAGAGAGAATAAATTCTGGATTGAAAATATGGTTAGGCAGTTTCAGGAAGTTCTGAAGCCTTAATGTTGCACCGGATGACGTGATATTACGCAGGGTTTTTCAAAACAGACTTTCTCAGATCTTCGTAAGAAACAATTACAATATATTTCCAGAAACCGTGACAAAAACCGCTATTCGTGGCATAATTCCCCAGAATATAAATATTTACGCTGCTGCATTACACTTTAATACAACTGCGAAATAATTGCTACGATTTAAAAAAGAATGTGACAAAAATTAATATTTATTTAAGTGGTAAAAGAAGGGCAGTGTGCAACCCTCAGTTTCACGCTGCACCATTTGGCTGTTTGGCTCACCAGTGCTTCTATGTCGGCATTGCGAATCTCTACTGTTAGCTGGGGCAGCAACGACTGACTGGAAAAAGTGTGGCTCCGAGGATTATTGAAATCGCGAATAAAGTCTAATCTGCTTCGTTTATTTAAATTGTTACATATTTATGACATTATGTGCTGAAATTGAAGCAAAATTCATTATTTGGAAAATACATATTTCCAAGTGGGTTCTGTAGCTCAACTTCAAATATAACCATTCCCCGCATATGGAAAGAGGTTTAATTCAGAGCCTTCACAGTAGAGCTTCCACCAAACTCGTATGCCAAGAATGCTAAGATCTCTCTAATGAGATTAGTTGCCTGAGACGTGATCTCCAGCTCAACGGTTATCCCCGCGGTTTCATTGACTCGGTCATTAATTCAAAGGGTAGCGGTCATCTGAGTAAAGAGCAGAAGCCCCTGGGCTCTATGTGTAGCCAATATGTGAAGGGTGCTTCAGAGAATTTCAAACGTACAACATCAGGACGATCTTTAAAACCAAACACTTTTAGGAGTTCACTCATGAGAACAAGGCCGTAAAGAGATCCGCAAGAGACGGCACAGTGCATCTACAATATTCCTTGTGAATGTGGCAGAAACTATATTGGCGAACAGGCAGACCTCTAGCCGTGCGGTTACGTGAACACAGGCACAGTCTCAAAGATGGTCTTACAAAAAACAAAAATAAACAATAACACGACATTCGTGTCAAGAGGGCCATAGGATAGGCTGTGAGGAAGCTAGGGTTTTGTAAATTGAAAGTAAGAGCAGATATAGCCAACCCAGTTTGGACTTTTCTCTCATCTGCAACCCCCTTAACAGCAATGAGGTTACCATCTCACAGAGATCAGCATGATGATTGTTCATGGGTTTCTACAAGGCTTACTGCGTAGTGTTCTGGTTTGCTCCACACATGCAGTTACCTGAAGGAACAAAATGGTTTAACAAATTCTCCGTTTGATCCTATGCACTGGCTTTCATGCACTTGGTTCTTTGGCTAGATTTGTTGCATACAAATTTCACCTCCATTTCTAACTTAGATTTAGGTGTGTGCATGCGTTATCACAGTTTTATTGCATATTTTCCTGTTATCTCCCTTTGACAAAGCCTGATCTCCGGTATTTATATAGGTCTAGTGACATACAACAAAATGCTCAGACTCAGTTTTGTAAGGACCTCCAGTGTAGTCCTGCGAGTCGTAGGAGGAAACGCAGAAGGAAGTCTCGAATCTGAGACAGTAAAATATGGTCACCAGTCCCACGGGACTTCTATTTAAAAATTGAATGAATGCGCACACTTTCCTTAAATATTTATCAAACAATCTTTTAAAATTTATATTAAGATTTAATATAAGCGGGCGAACATAAACACGTTCAAAATGTTATTTTATAAGAGAAGGAAGAGATGAGGCAAACTTCAGTAGGGCTGCTGTTCTTGTAATAATATAATAGCAGTTGTTGCATAAATTAACTGTGTCCAAGATACGTGGTACAGGGAGAGCTACAATATTAATAAAAGCATATTAAAATAATATATATTTTTTTTTACTTTGAAGGCTATCTCTCATGCTTGAAAATGCTTCCTCTTGTACTTTGGCAATAACGTTTGAAGATGCCCTTGGATGCATAATTATCCACATGAATTCTATGAGAAGTGTAGGTTCTAATTTCATGTATTCTTATTAACCAGAAGAATCCGTCTATAGCATGAGACGGGAAAGCTCTCTCAATATAACAAGGGTTTACAGGTTAGAGGCCGGGGTTCTATTTCCGGCAGGGATAAGACGCTTTTCTTTGTTCCACAGTTTCCAGGCCGCCTTTGCGGTACATCCAGCCTCCTATCCAATGCGTACCTTAGGATCTTTCCTCGGGTTTAAAGCGGACGGTGCATAAAGCTAAACACTCGTCTCTATCTAGTGCCGAGATGAAGAACATTGAAGCTATGCCTCCACTCCCCTATAAGTCTCTATGGAATATTGCTTAATTAATTAAGTAAAAGGACAGTTTTACCTCTTTACTTTTATATCTCTGCAGCAAGGAAGACAAAGGCAGGGCTGCCCACACATCCTCTATGTTTTCTGCGAATGCTTTACATCAGAGAGTAAGAAATATTTGGATAATTTAAATTTAAAATAATGAGGAGGAAAGCAATATTTCGTGCTTTCTTTTGTTTTATCATGTTTGAATTTTTTACTAAGATAGTGTAATTACGTACAATAGTATTAATTTCCTTCGTGTCTAAAAATGCGAACCGCGAGTTCTACCGTAAATATTATGCGCGATTGTGACGGGGCCCGCCAGACAAAGCAATCAGACATACTTCATGCAAAGTGATGTAGCAATGAGGTTACTTTTATTACACAATACACTTTACAAGAATGCATGCTAAGATTTAATGGGATGAATTTTCATCGATTTGGGAAATAAACTGCTTATCTTCATTTCAAGAAATCAATACCCTGCCGTTGACACGCTGAGAATATGAGGCGGAAGTCAGTAAGTGAACTGTATTAGTACCGTTACTTAATGAGGGTGTTACGCGTTGAGCTTTTAATGGAAAGAATGCAACTGTAGGCTTCAATTTACAAGTCGGAAGAAAGTGACTAGGAATTCTACCTGATAGACCTAAGAAGAGAGGAAATGGTTACTGTTTTCTACAGTTTTCTCTGCTGTTTTGTTTGTCTTCATTCAGTAGGGCCATGCCACATTTGCTGTTGAAGAGCCAATCTACCGAAACTTTACCCATGTACAAACAAAACCCATAAAAACACAGATATCCAATTTGTTTTTTATTTCTCCTTTGATTGTTTGTACAGAGGTGGTTATACAATATACATGGTGACTTGAATATTAATCGGTTTATTGTGTTGGTTTTGATGTTCTGTGATGTTCATTATTATACCTAATATAATTATAATTTTACTGGGATGGGATAGTTTTGGTTTAGTTTCTTGTTGTTTTCAATTTATTATCAGAATGTAAGGTCTTATAATAGTGGAACGTCAATTCGGTTTCTGACGGCTTCAGTGGTGACTTAGAATGCCACTTAGCATTCTTACGTGTTTCCTAACATAAGAATAAGTAAAGTTGCAACTGTGCTTTTTTAATTAAGTACCACGCTATGAAAACGTATGGTGGGGCTCCACCAGTTTTGACCTTGGCATCGCATGGAGGTGAGTAGTCGGCTTCACACCCCTACCGTTATAACCTTGGAGAAAGAGAACCCTGTACCTTCTGGAGAGGAGGCTGGGTGGGCTGCAGAACCGGTCTGATCGCTGTGGAGTAGAGAACAATATTTAGCCCCTGCCAGGATTCGAAAACCAGCCCTCCATCCAGTAGCCCGTCACTTTGCCAAATGATCTACTCTGGGTCCTCTGTGTTTCCCAACGGAAAAAGAAAATGTCGTTCTTGCATTCAGAAGACGCGAAAAACGATTCAACCCTGAAGATGAAGGTAAAATGTCCCTCCGAAATTTACATCTGCCCACAATTTTGCAGTCTTACACCGCGTGACAGCCCAGAAGCCTACAATCACTGCAGAGGAAACATTAACGAACGAGTCTCCGATCTTCAGAAGATGTGGTGTTATCATTTAATCTTCTTCTGTGCATTCATATGCATGAAGGACTATGTAGAGCTAATTTTGTGTGTATTGCACTTTGCTTAACGTCACTGCCAGTAGCTCATAGTCAGTACGGGCGCATGGCAATGTAATCGGTGAATAATGGGTAGGAATCAAGCGGTTAGTCGCTGGCTTCCCACCGCGGCGGCCCGGGTTCGAGCCCGCGTCTGGTCAAGTGGGATTTGTGGTGGACAAAGTGGCGCTGGGGCGGATTTTCTCCGAGTACTTCGGTTTCCCTTGCCAATCTTTATTTCACCAAATTCTCCATCATCATAATCACAATAGGCCAATCAGTGTCCCCCGTGCCGAGTGGGCCCAACTGGACTCCACCCCCCACTAAGCGAATTAAAAAAAAGGGGTAGGAACTGAAACGTTCGTGTCGTATCCTGACACTTA